TGTATGGATTGTGATAAGAGTTGTATGAGCCCATAATAAAATGATTTTTAAAAAAAGATCTATTGTGTGAGCCTAACTCTCTCTTGGTTTCTGGGACCAAGATAAAGCACATGGCCTGGAATCCCAGCTCCCTCACTGACTCACGGGGATGGCTTCACCTCTCTGCCTCGACTTCCTCCTCTGTAACATGGGTGTGCTGTTACTGCATTCACTTCTAGACCTCGATGGAACATGCTTCCGGAAAGTTAGAGGCTCTGAGCTGGAAGGCAGGCAATGCTGATTATGGGCCAGGTGTCTTTGTACCAATAACTCCTACCTTAAGCTTCATAAGCTACTCACCTACTGCCGTTGAGTAAATGCTGACTCAAAGTTCTCCCCCTCCCCTGCGAGTTTCCGAGGCTGTAATTGTTGACTGGAGTAGAAAGCCCAGTCTTCCCCCCATGGAGCTGCTGGTGGTTTCACACTGCCAACCATCTGGGTCATAGCCCAACACTTAACCACTACACCACCGGGCTCATAAGCGATGGGAGCTGCTAATTAGCACATGTGAAGACAAGAGTGCTCAGTGAGGTGATGTGGGGAAGCTGGGACTTGAACTCCAGGCCTGTCAGACTCTAGCCTGGGCTCCTAACTATCATGCTCCACGCTCATACATCCTACTTGGCTCCCTCTTACTGTACAACTCTCTTACTGACAGCTTACTGTGGGCCAGGCCCTGCCCCAAGCTTCCTTCCCACTCAGTATCACATGACCCCCATGGGGGGAAGGGTATTGGCACACCCACCTTACAGGTAAGGACCCCAGGCAGCTCTGGTGACTAGCCCTTATTCGCATAACCCATGAGTCATGAGCCAGAAATTGCCACGGTGCCTGTCTGTCTTCCTCCGGTGCCCCCCCACACCCCAGGTCCTGCCCACCAGCTGCTGTATCTCCCCTCATAGCCACCCACCCTGCTTGCTTCTTTATCTCCTTGCTCCTGGGGCCCCTTCCCTGTCCCTGGAGGAGTAAGAGCAGCCTTGTGGGCGCCCCCACAGCTAAGCCTCATCATACCGACCTCCCAGCCCTCAGAACCCTCCACCATGTCTCCCACTGTGAACCCCAGATTACTTGAGTTAGTGACACAGCTCGGCCTCCCAGGTGTTGTGAATGTGTGTGGCACTTGGGCCCTGCCCAGGTGGCCAAGGCATCACTGGTTGGTGGCTCTCACTAGCAGAAGTGAGGGGCTCAGGGGACTTTCTGGCCAGGATGGCCTCAAAGACGCCCCTGGGATGGCTGAGTCGGAGAGGGCCAGGGCACGTGCGTATGAGATGTCTGGGAGTCGGGAGGCATGCACAAGGCGCTTCTGAGGGAACGAGGGCTCTCCCTGACCCCGGAGCCCCGGCCGGCCAGACGCCCACCATGATGAGCAAGCTGCCCAGGGCCCGTGCTGCTTACATGGTCAATGAGCTCCTTGATCATGCCGTTCCACTGGCCCTTCTCATCCTGCGCTCCATACTTGCCGTCTTCCACCAGCCGGATCTCATAGGAGAAGCCCAGGATGTGGGCCAGTTCCTTGAGCAGGTCGATGCAGTAGCCCTCGAAGCGGTCATTCCCGTACAGCGTCCGGTCGGACTTGCGGAACATGACAAAGGGCTCCTCCTGTAGGAACAGATGAGAGAGGGCAGTGGAGGCTGGGAGTGGGATGGGGTGGGAGGAGGGGGCCAGGGGGCTGGGCCTGGGCCTGAGAGCTGGACGGAGGTGGGACCTGGGCTCATGGCTTGATTTACTTATTTGATTTGATTGTAGTAGCTCACTTTATTGGGGGCTCTCACAGCTCGTATAGCAATCCATGCATCAGCTGTACCGAGCACGCTTGAACACAGGTCGCCATCGTCACTCCTGAGACCCTCTCCTTCGACTTGTTTGGTAAAAGCCGTTTGGGGCGGCTGGGACGAAGGGCCTGCCAGAGAGCCGACACTGTGGCTCACGAATGTCACCGGCTGGCCTTCCCCCGCAGAAGTCACCGCTTGACTTGTCCAATGGTCACTCGCTTAGAGTGGCTGGTAAGTGAACTTCAGGCTACTGGATTCCAGCGGGTCTACAAAGATGGATGGACCATGAGCCAGCAGCAGCGGCACCTGGGCACTCCATACACACACACACACACACACACACACACACACACACACCCTCGGGCCTCCCTTAGACTGTCGGAGCCACACAGTCGGGGAGAGAGCAGTGGTTCTAGGAACCCAGAGACCCCACTGCCCACTTAATTGAATAAACACTGCTGTACAAGGGTCGTTCCCTCTGTTCCCTCCTGCGCACAGGAGTCCGTTCCTGGATGACTCCCCAGCCAACTCCCAGCCTCGGGGCCAGCATCTGCTCTGACAAGGGCAGCCTGCACTCACTGAGCCGTGCCACTGGGCAGCTCCGAACCTGTGGCTGTCAGTCACTGCCGACTCACCATGACCCCATGCGGGTCTGAGTTGAGTTTGCAGTGATTGGGTTTTTGCAAGCAGACAGCCAGACCCTCTGCTGAGGCACCTCTTGGAAGACTCGCCCGCCAGCCTTTCCATTCGAAGGCCATCTTGTTAATCACCTGCACCACCCAGGGATTGCTGGGAAGTCTGCAAATATTGTCCTACGAGGCCTAGTTCAGAGCCCCCAGAGCAGTGGTTCTCACTCTTCCTAATGCCGCGACCCTTTCATACAGCTCCTCATGTTGTGGTGACCGCCCGACCATAAAATCATCTTCATTGGTACTTCATCACTGTAATTTTGCTACTGTTATGAATTGGGCCACCCCTGTGAAAGGGTCGTTTGACCCTCCCAAAGGGGTCGCGACCCACAGGTTGAGAACCGCTGCCCAGAGGAAAGGGGTCGTAGACAAGCTTGGTCCTGCCTCAGCGAGGTTCAACCCTTTGGATTCGGTACTCAAAGTCTCATTTCATGGATGTAGAAGGTACAGGTCAGGGAAGATAAGCACAAGTACACCCAGCTGGTACAGGGGAGGACTTGAACCCAGCCGTGATCTGGAGGGCTGGAGGGCGGGAGAGCCTCGGGAAGGGGGCTCGTGGGAGTCAGCGCTCACATCTCAGGGAGTCATTGTCGGACTCTCAAGAGGGCCACGGCTCTGGTTTTTCACTTAGAAACACACACCCCTAGACACTCTCACAAAGATGACCCGGGAGATGGGAGGGGAGAAAATAACTGGACGGAAAGACAGGAAACCCAGAGAGAGGCAGTGACAGACGGACCTTCCCAGCTTGATACGTGGATACGGAGCTGTGGGTTCTGGGGTGGGAGGAATCCAGGGCAACATGCAAGTCCGGGTTCTGCTGGTTCCATCCACCCAGCCTCATTTCCAAACCACGCAGAGTCCGCCAATCACTGGGTTGGAATCCCACCCCCACACCTACGAATGCCACCGACCTGGGGGCAGGGTTTTCATCGGTCTGTGAATGAGGCCCTATCTGTGTATAGAAGGCTTTAAATGGAGTCACTGTTGAGATCTACACAGAGCTGTGCTGGAAGGAGGGACAAGCAAACCCAAGGGGGAGAAAGGCAGATGCCACGTGGAATTCACCGAATAGGGGAGGCAAGGATTTCACCCCAGAACGGATCCAGAGACGGCCCCCAGCGCTGGGGCCTGAGGAACTGTTAGACAAAAATCCGTCCATTGAGACCACCCCCTTGTGGTACCTCTTACAACCAAACTAAAGCCAGACACAGCCACCGAGTCAATTCTGACTCTCAGTGACCCCAGGGCTGCCCCCTGGGTTTCCAAGACATTAACTCTTTATGGGCACAGAGCGTTTTGTCCCTCTCTTATAACAACACAAGCTAAAACCAGGGCTTTGAACTGGTTCACTCTGACCGACCCCCCTGCTGAACAGGTGCCTTTTACCCTAGAGATGCTGAATCAGAATTAAATTTAAGACGATCTACAGGTGGAACAGGTCCCCACGTGACTCCTATAGACATAAGAATCACTGGGGGCGCTTGTCCAAATCTAGATTCTAACCCTAAGTGTCTAGGGATAGAAATGCAAGTTCTCAGCAGGGGCTCAAACCAGACTAAAGTTCTGACTGAAAGAACAAAATCTCTGTTCCCGAGTTAATCTGTTCGGGAGACCCCAAAGTCAGGTCACGTTCTAAGAGTGGTCTGTAACCCCACACCTCGTCTTCCCTGGATGCCCCTCTCAGCCCTCTGTTCTGTCTCTCCCTGTGGCTCCTCAGCCTCTTCCCGTCGGCCAGCCTTCTCCAGGCTCAACTCTGGACCCTCACGTGCCAGTACGCCTCCGGTCTTCCACTCAAAACAAAACCAGAAGCACCAAACGCCTGTCGTTGAGTCGACCCCCCTCACAGAGATCCTCTAAGGGCTGGAAGGTCCTTGTGGGCTTCCAAGATTGGGACTCTGTACCGTGATAGAGTACAAGGCCTGGTCTTTCTCCCTGGGAGCGGCTAGTGGTTTGGAATAGCTGACCTTGAGGTTAGCAGCCCAGCACGTAGCCACGACGCCACCAGGGCCCCCTAAGTCTTCCCCTTGTGGCTGCCAGTCATCAGTGGACAGAATAGAATGCAGGCGCTCATGTCCACAATAAGGACACAGCACCAACATGGGGGCATCTCACCATTCTCCCAACTGGCACAGCCATTGCCTTGCACCATGGTGCAGGAGAAGGCCCCAGAAAAGACCCTCATATAAGTCCCGCCTGGGGGGTGGGGGGTGGGTAGAAACCCCAGCCACTTCCCCTGCTCCTAACGTGGCAAGCGGTCTGGATTCTCTGGCCCTGGGTCCCAGCAACACTGCCTCACGGAACGCCATCCGCCCTCTGGTAGACTGTCTCCAGATTTCCAGCGGTCCTTTGGGAGGCTTCCGAGAAAGAGCTGGGGATGCCCGAGTCTCCCAGGGCTTCCCACCTCTCTGGGGATCCTGAGAAAATCACTCCACAGTCTAATTGGGTGGAAAGCTGGATTTCTTGGCTAGACTCCATCTCCATCTTCTAGCCAAGCAGGCAGCTCAACAAGGGAGCTGAGAGAGCAGTCCACACAGCAGGTGGGTGACCCCTAACTCCATGCAAATGAACCTCTGGGCAGAGCCTGCTCTTCCCGAGTCCAGCAGGTCTGGGCGGCTGTCAGTCCCAACTCATGGTTCTGGAAGGACGCTCCTGCGCAGTGCACAGGCCGTGCGACTGTGCCTGGTGGCTCGCTCTGACTCAACACAGAACTGCCATGAGGAGGCCCCATCTTCCCCAGGGGCAGCACCGACCACGGGCCTCGCCGTGTGGATGCCCAGACAACATCTCTTGCTGTCTGTAGACGGGGGTAAGAACAGACTCTGTCTGATGAGGCGGTGTGAGGAACCAACCAGTGCGTCCACGAGAGCACTCGGAATGGCCACTGGCCCTCAGTCGCTGTTAGGTACCGTGGGGTCTATTTCGATGGAAAGCAATCCCATGTGACAGAGCAGAGCTGCCTCCTAGGGACTGCTAGGCGATGACTTTCACACTTGGAACGCTGGTGGGGCCGTGTTTAAGCACGTGGCTGCGAACCACAGGCCAGTGGTTCGGATGGCCGAGCAGCCTGCTTCAGGAAAAGACGTACAGCCTTGGGATCCCTGTGGGCAATGTGGTTCTGTCCTTTGGGGGCTGCAAGGGATCAGAATTCAACTCAACGGCAACGGGTTTGGTTTGGGGTAATCTTTATAGGGCAGAGGGCCGAGCCTTTGTCCCGAGGAGCTGCTGGGTGGGCTGGAACCAAGCAATGATTCACCAGGGTACCATCAGGGCTCCCTCGGGACCCGTTAGCTGCCGCCACTGTCGCCATCACGACTCTCAGCGTTGTCATTAATACCATCGTCTTTTCCCCATGAGCCGACGGGCCTGTTACTGGCAGTGGCCTTTCCTGCCTGGAGAGGAAGCCCAATGACACCACAGGGCCGCATGTCATGGTGGGCCGGAGGGGAAAGCCATTTCCGGAGAGGTCCCGGAGGTAGCTGGCCCTCTGACCTCCTCTCCATGCCCCTGTTTGGCCCGCTGCTCTAAAATTAGCACTTAATTTGTGAAGCCACCGCGGCCCCAGATTCTATACATCTCCATATAAATGCGCTGCCTTTCGGAGCAGCTGTAAAATGCCATTAATTTCGGGAAGTGCTTTGCGGATGGCATACATATTTAACAGCCGGAGCCGGGGGCATTAAAATGGTGCTCGCCTTGGTAATGTGTCTCCAGACCTGCAACATTTCCTAGGGGGTAATTCTGAACTCCGCCAACTACTTATTCATGGACTATTTCACAATTTATTACTGGAAATGTCCAGACAGCCAATTCACAAGCTCTCTCGGCTGCTAATCGATTGCTCAGTGAAGGTGCCCTCAATTTCATAACTTCACGCTCACGGGGGACAGCCCGAGGTGCGGGGGCCATATTTCTCTTCAACAAGTCACAGCAAACAGGGGTCCCGAGAAATCGCCCCTGCCGCCTTGTCCCCGCCAGCCCTCTCCACCTGGCTCCTGGAAGGTCACTTGCCCAGAGTGAAAGGTGGGCGTGCAGTGGCCTCGGTCAGCAAGGGACCCACAGAGCTGCGGGAGGGTATGGGGAGGGGCGACTCCCAAGTGTGAAAGGATCTGTGTGTGTGTGTGTGTGGGGGGGTTTA